CCAACTGACAACATTCTATGATTCTATGATTAGATTTATCATAGAAATAGTGCTCTGTGTGATAGCCACTGTTCTGCTCTTCTGCTGTGTGTCTCTGTATCATTGACAAAATTAAAGAGAAGAGATGAGCATTAGACCTGTGTTAAGGAGGGTTAATATACAAGTTAGATTGTGCAGTAGGAAGTCTAAAAGGGAGACATACTGTGCTGTCTAAGCTGTATCAATCGTTCAAACTAAGGAAGAAAGAATTCTCAGACTTTTAAACTTTTTTAGAAACCTTCTGAAAAGTTTGTGACACTTGCACATTGATGGTGTAATTTAAATTAAGGCAGGGGGAACTTGAAACTTTTCCTTTGAGCATTTTCAGTTAGTGCTTTGCAGTTGTTGAAGGTCTTTTGTAATTCTATAATTTGGAAAAGGAAATTGTTTTTGGATATTCAAAACCATGTATGTGTGTATATATACTCAGTGTTCTGAGTGGTTTGTGAATGTAAAACTCATTTAAATATTCAGCTTAGGAACTGAGTTCCATTTTGTACTTCTATAGGATTTTTATTATGCTTTTGTTAAAGCAAATCTTTTGTAGTTTTAATTTAAAAACTTAACCAGCAAGTGTAAAGGAATTTACAGTTATAACTACCCTGTATTTTAACTGCATATTTAAAATGCTGGTATGGTTCTGCATGTCTGTTTGTAGGGTTTTGCCATCTAACTAAACAGAACAGAACTAGCTGCAGTTATATAAACCACCAGCTTAAAGCTATAGTATACATATTAAATAAAACTATCAGTAAATTGTCAGTACTGTGTTTACCATAAATATAGGTCAAGTTTTTCTAATAATTTAAAAACAAATTAATTTTAAAGAGAGAGTTTGTCAACAGATCTTAATTACTGTAGTATCTGTTAAAAATGGTGAATGGCCAGTATTTATTTGCATTAAAATGAGATTAGTTTAATATAGAACTTAGTTCTTAAGGGCTTTTAGAGGTGGTTTTTTTTACTCAGTAATTTTTATTTTGTACTACTCCTTTACACTTAAAGTTAATATGTTATTTAATCCTGGGTCAGATCTTGAACAGTATTGATGGTAGCAAGAAGTAAATCCATAAACTGCTTCAGAAAGGGAGTTTTTAGACTTAAAAATTCTTGCTTTCAAAAGTCATTTGATACCTATGTCATATGCTGCAGTAGACATTTTCCACATTTTACCCTTGGTTTTCCCATGTTTTTATTTTTCAGACTGGAGAAAAACTTTTTGAACTTCATGGACACACACACAAAATTACAGCTATAACACCATTTTCTTCATCAGATGCTTCTGAAGAAAAAAAACATTTGATTTTAACAGCATCAGCTGATAGAACGGTTATTGTATCCTTAGATCTGGAGAAGGTTCAAATTTCTATAGGCTTTTTGTGTGCTTTTACTTTTAAAGGTGTCACTGAGGCAGGCCACAGGTTATTTAAATTTATTGGCTGATAATATCCGGTAGGTATAATTGGATTACAGTAGGATTTTACTGCTTATTGCTTACAAGTAGATACAATCCTTGCTACAGTCAGAGTTTAAAAGACTGAGTCTCTGCTTACCTATTTCCCTGTTTTCCTATTATTCAGTTACAAATACAGCAGTTATATTTATAATACATAAAAATCTTTCAGTTTCCTTAATGAATAAAGTCAGGTTTGGGACTGCACGAGTGGCAGACAGGTTCAGAAAGTGTCATGTTTCCATTCTACTGTAAAGGTAAGCTGAGGAAACCCTGGATATGTCTGTTGTTTTGCTATATACAAGTATCTATTATGTATGGCTTATGGGCCATATGGGCAGATGTGTTAAAATGAACAGCAGTGTTTGATTTAAGAACAGCTACATAATGAGTGGCTGGGAAGTGGGTACAATTCTTAATATGTTTTTGAAACTCAATACCTTAGCTTTCTTTTTGAAAGGATGTAGAACAAAGGTAATTTTACAGCTTGTTTTTGTTACTGTGTTGTAAAAGGCAACCTACAGTTGAACTAGTTCTTGAGTGTTAATAGTAGAAAAAAAATCACTGAAAAAATCAGTTTTTGCATTGTTGATGGAAAATTGTAACATATAGTTTGTAATTAAAACTGTGTTTCTCAGGAAAGTGACACCATAATACTATATTGCATAGTACTTACAGCTTCATCTAGCTAAAGCTCACGATCATTTTGCTGAGAAATTCCCTGTAGAACTTTTGTAGGAGACATATATCTGATTTTTGTTCTGCAGTGTTTGACAGTTCTTCGAAGACTGGATGTATGGTTGTCTGGAGGGAGTGATCTATGTGTTTGGAACCGAAAATTAGATCTCTTGTGTAAGACCAGTCATCTTACTGATGCAGGTAAAAATGTAAATGACTCATTATAGCTGTTAAAGTGCAAGTAAAATGGATCTGTATAATGATGCAAAACCAACTTGGCAAATTCTCTTTAATTCTAATGATAACATTATGCATTAGAGCCACTCTCTATTTTTTTAAATGTCAGACTTAATCATTTCGAATTAAGACTGCTTTTATTCTCCTGTGCTGTGTGAATTTTAGAATCTGTCAAATCTCAGTAACTGTACCTTAGCTTGGACTTAGAGAGCTAAACCTCAGATGCTGATTTATACATGTTTGCAGTAATGTGGACCAGATCCTTTGGCTTGCTTTCTCCGTGAAGAAGTGGGAGTTTTATTATTCCTAAGTAAAGCTTTGTAGTAGTAGAGCAGTAAAGTTTCCTTTTTATTATTAAGAATCAGTACTTTTGATGTAGAAAATGCAGTTTTGATAGGAATACCATAAATCTAATCAGATGTCAATGTCAATCATGCTTTTCTATTAGTAAGCTTATATATTATCTGTCCATGTGAAGAAAATTGTTGTGTATTATTTTCATATGTTACAAATATACCTACAAAGCTGTGAATTAAATTAAAAGTTGGAACCAGATTTTCCTTATTATTGTCATAGAATGGAGTAGTGGCAGGCAAAACCTTCTGAGTCTTTGAAGATATTGATACTTCTTTTGGTTCAATATGAAGTACCATGCCAAATGCCACCTGGAAGTGGTGCTGTAGTGCTTAGTGTGAGGTGGTATTGAAACTTTCGTACAAGGGGTTAAGGAGATGTGCAGCATAGGCCCTCTCTTCCCTCCTAACCTCTTGCTTCCTTGTGGGGAGAGAGACAGATTGCTTATTCCTTGGGGAATTTTCCTTTAATGGTGTGGCAGCACAGACCGGGGGAATTTTGTGCAGAATGAAGGCAGAGTGACAGCAAACTGGATGTTTTATCTTGTGCCCTATTCTTATTCAGCTGGCTCAGCACAATATTTTAGTATCATGCATACTGTGGTAGTATTAGTGTCTAATAACTTTGGTACTGCATATGTTTAGAGACTTACTAATTGCCACAGTGTCTTTAATGTTGTACAGCATTAGGACATAAACATCTTACCTGTATTTAAAATAAAAAACTTATTGATTCTCAGCTTCACATCAAGTTTGATGTTCGGAATTCTGCTGGATTCAGGACCAAACCTCCAAACTCTTAGCTCTGGTTGAGGTAGTATGTTCACTTTCAGTGTGTTTAACTTTACTTCAGGCAATATGCTTTTGATAATAAGTTATAAGAGGAAGTAAGAGTATGAAGAACTTTATGAATAGAGGTTTTAACAGTTTGCTGTGTTTTCTTGTGGTCAATGAATATCCTTTTCTCCCTCATCTCTTGTATTTTTTTTCAAAGGTATCAGTGCTTTGGTTGAATTGCCTAAAAATTGTGTTGCAGCAGCTGTCGGCAAAGAGCTGAGTGAGTATGTTGCATTTCTGTTAAATGTTCATGTTCCTCTATAATAGCTGCTTATCAGAAATACCTGTGAAGAGCATGCTGCTGAAATTGTATAGGGAAAATAAATGGTATTAGGATGTGATTAATAACCTTCTTCCTTTTTCCCTTATTTGACAAAGAGGCAGACAATACTAATCTCACTTAAGAATTTTGCTGATATCTACATGACAAAACTTCTCTATATTCTTTGTTATTACAGTTATTGCCACTTGCTCATTTCTGATTGTGGCAATCTACATTTGTTCTTCTGGAGAAGGTCTGGAACTCATTATCTGAGCTGTCAGATACTAGGCTTCTCTAGAGCCTCCTTATCCCAAGATTAGAAATATGAGATATTGCTGATCTCATAATGCTGTGCAAAGCTCTAATGAGATGATGCGATGGTTTCTGTTGCTCACTTGGAGACAGGGTTATCTATGTATGCAAACTGTAAATCATCATCGAGCTGTTGATGCCGAGTCTTTTAAATAGGAGCGTTTTATAAAATTACTGAAGTTTCAAAATACAGGAAAAAGTCCAGGAGATAAAGTATCGCACTGAATCAACAGAGTTTGCTCAATATGATTAAACATTTAGCTGAGAAATAGTAATCTGATATCCTGATCAAAGAATCAGGAGCAAATTAAAAATAGTTACCTTCTGTTTAGACATTGATATACAGTGTAGACTTCTATCTGAACTTCCCACAGTTCTTTTGTAGTGCCCTTGAGTTATCAGAAAGGAAATTTGAAGACTGATTAAAATAGATCTAAATTCCTGGAAATCTTGATTGCCTTACTAGAGAATATTGCATCATTTTGAATAATAGTTTTCAGTCAGATGAGCCCTTAAGAAAGATGTTTTGCTTTTAGTTTTCTTATCTATAAAGATGTCTGATATTCAGTTCTACTTTCTGCAGCTTCTGATGTTGACAGATTCTCTGAATTTCAGAGTTACTAGACTGAAATGTTTTATCCTATAGTTGCTATGGTAAGAGTCCTTAATGATAACACTGAAATAACTTATTATCACTTTTTTTGGTGTTACAAGTGGTCATAAGTGGCTTTACACATCTTGTACTGTCTCACTTATAATATGTTTTAGTTTGTGTCTTTCTGAAAACGACATGCTTTTATTTAAGCATAGCTACACTTATTGTGGATCATAAAGCTTATTTAGATAATTTGTATCTCTATCTTTGAAGTCATTTTTAGGTTGATTGCTTCTAATGATGAATCTGAAGGTTGGAATATCCTTGAAGTAAAACGACTTGTTGACCATCAGGATAACATTTTGTCATTAGTCAGTGTCAATGGTAAGAGTTGTTTTATAGTGTTACTGGTTTTGTTAGTTACCAGTGGGATATTTCAACTATGGAGTTTTTATTGGGACCAAACTTTTAACTGGAGTGAAACTTCATAATTGGTAGACATACCTTCCTGTGTAGCTGCAAATGTAGTGAAATGTGAAAACATAATGGCTTTATTTATGGATTAACAGTGAAGTGGAGCCAGGCAGGTTATGATCTAGGAAAGGTGCAAAAGAGGCAATGTCACTGGTGGGAGTGGGAACTCTGGGTCATCTTTCTGTTGGGAAAGTTTAAAATGCCTTTTTTTTTTCTTGTTTCTTCTGATTCTTAAAATGGAATATACAGTGCCATGTCCTTGGCAGTTGTAGTGCCAGGTAACAGAAGGTTCTGGGCTTGGAGATAGATCCATTGTTTAGAGGCTCTGGATGATGATGCAATCTCTGCTGCTCGTTAGGGCAATACTGACTATTACCTGAAATTCTGTCTACTTTACTGCAGTTCTCTGCCCCTTCTACTTTGTTCTTCCCTGTCATTTTTGATGGAGCACCCCCAGAGCCCAGGACAAGTTATTCCTGGTGTGATAGAAGGTGTATATTTGTCCATGGGCTTACTTGTGTCAGCCTGGTTGGCACTAAGGGGCTGTGGTACAGAGGTAACAAGAAGGTAGAAAGAGGAAAACTTGGATTCTGTCATAGTTGTTTCTGGGGTTTCCTGTTGCCATTATTTCCCCCTTTTTGTTTACAAAGGGAAGCAATGTTGGACTTAAAAAGGACAACATGCTACCTGTGTTAAGTATTGTTGAAGCATTTCCTTTCCATGTGTGATTAACAAAATAATGAGCAGCTACTTCAACCTTGCCATTAATTCATTAATTTAATTTATGATCAGTATTTAATTTATGATCAGTTCTGTTTATGGCAAAGACATAGTTTGCTCTGTCTGAGGGGTGCTGGTACACCTGCTTGTCCAAGGAACAGAAGGGTTTTTTATGTAGGCAAGAAATGACCTTCAAATACTTGTACATACTTCTGGTGGTGTTCCTTGCCTTTGCTGTACTGTACTGTGCACTGTGGCTGGTGAATGTTCTACTTCCTAGTTTTAATTTTACAAGAGATTGCTCATGTCCTTTTGCTCACCTATGCTAGGTAAGCAAATGAATATTTACTCAAAGGGGGAGGTTTTTGTCCAGTTATGTGCTGTACATTCTACATAGCTTCACTTGAAAATGGGCTCTCATAACTTTTTAGGGTTGTAACTTTATGTGAAATGGATTTTTTTTTTTTTAATACAATATGATTTCTATGTGTGGTTTGTTTTTTGTTTTGTTTTTTCTCTAGATTTGACTTTTGTGACAGGTTCTCACGTGGGTGAGTTAATAGTTTGGGATGCACTTGACTGGACAAAGCAGGCATCTGAGTGCAACTTCTGGGACTCCTCTGTCCATCCAGATGTACAGTCGGAAATAAAGTTATCCCAGAGCCCAAATGAAACTTCAGTTCAACACTTAACATCTGATGAGGAGGTAAAAAGCTTTAAGCAGAGTAAAGTACTTCAAGTGAGCTACAGAACCTTACTACAGAAGGCCAAGTGTTCTGTGTTTTCGGTTTGCTTGTTTTAATATGAGACTTCTTTAAAATGTGCACATCTATTTTTATACAGTCAACAGTAGTTTATATACAAAATTTTGGTCATTGAGCTAACTGAAGGTTATAATGTGTTGATGGTATGGGAACTAACATAATGGATTGTCACAACAGCATTTATTTTTGACTGACAAAGATTTATTATTTTTTTACAGTATCACTGGAGAAAAAGAAACAGAAAGTGTCTATTTTGATGGCATATGTCTTTCACATTCCATGGTTCTGGAAGTGCTGTTTCCACAACAATATGCCTCTTGAACAGTTATAGCTGAGGCTACTATGAAGTGAATATTTATTTGCTACTAAGTATATGCCTATGCTTAATAGTAAATAAATATTGCTACTTCTGTTCAGATGGGCTATACTCAACTGTAAACACAAATATGGGTCCAAAATCCAGTCTACTATAATCATGCTTTGGAGATAATCCAGGAGTTCTTGGTCAGAGTACTTGGGCAAAAACCCAGGTATTGTTCAGGAAACACTAAAAGTCCTCAGGTTGTTGTAACATTTCACAAAAGTAAACCAACTGTTAGTGGCAAAAGAAAGGACAGTTGGGGTACAGTGGGTTTCTGTTTTGGGGCCTGTAGGTCCATTGCTGGGGAATGATGAAGAAAGAATCCTGGAACTGGATTCAGAGATAGGAGCTATAACAAGTAGTCATGCAATGCATTTGTCTGTTTGTGAGAAGAGCATTCCTAAAACACTGGAGACTCAAGAGAAACACTGGAGGGGTGTAGTGTAGGGGGAAGGAGATTTAGCTGTCTCTAAAGGTAGGATTTCCAGTCGTTTTGTTGTGGATGCTTAATTCTAGAAGGAGCAAAAAGCCAGTCCTGTTCAGGACTGTTGTATAACCTGTTCAGAAGTTGTATATTTTGGCTTCAGAACATTTTGATTCCCTATTTGAAAGCTATACAAGATATGTTTTAAGAGAGGGGAAAATAATTTTTGGAAATTTGGAAGCAGTTAAAATATTGAATGTGGAATCTGAGGCTGCTGAGGACTTTATTCCATTCATGGAACTGAACTAAACCAATTTTATTTATTATGAGACTTTTGAATGATGGGAAGAAAAGGTGGTTGTAGCATTATGTCCCGAAATCCAAAATGTTTTTAGGGTAGAGCTATCTGCACTGTAAAGTTCCTCCTTAGAGGGTGATGAGAAAACATATTCCTGTAATGAATTACTTTTTTACCTGCTACCTAAACACAGAACGCTGTTCTTCATGTTAAAAAATAAAAAAAAAATTGGCATTTTCTCTGTTATGAGCTTTGTCAGTAGGCTTGGTAGTTGGAGAAGATGCACCTGTCTAGTTTGACACTAGGCTTATAGGCAAAACATAATTCGGAAACAAGTGGGATGGTAAAGGTTTGGCAATATTAGGAAACAGGAATATTAGGAATGCATCTGCTGTCCTGATACCACATGTATGTGTGTTTGGTTTTAACTTGCTTGTTAAAATGGGTTGTGAAGAGCATCTTTTGCAAAGCTGTAAGACTATATGAAACTAAAGAACCTGTCTCAAGGTAGAAGACTGTAAGGGAGAAAAGGCCGAGATATAGGAGTGGCAGAGTGATGTGGAAGGCCACTGAATTGAGCCTCACACCAAACCAGGAGAATGGTAAAAATGGGCTCAGTGTTTTTATCTTGATTTGATAGAATGCTATCAGAAATCTGAGCTTAGTTTCAGAGCTATTGAAGCTCCCAGCACAGATGTACATAAGGGAAACAAACAAACAAAAACCTGACAAAAAAACCCCAAAACCAAAAATCCCTGGACAAATAGTTTTGAACAGTGTCAAAATACCATTGAATATATGTAGGAAATCTTAGTCAAAGACACTGGGTTACCAGACTTACAAAATGTTGACAAGTTTATAGTGTGAACTGCTTGTGAAACATCAATGTTTAGGCTGTACAGATGGAAGCAGGGCATTCAGGGAAAAGATCTAGCATACCATCACCTAAACAGGGTGTGTTCAAAAACCCAAATATGTCCTGAATGGAAGCATGTTGCACTCCTCTGGTACCAAATATTTGTGACATGTACAAACACACAATTGTGTGTTTGTCCTCTCTAATAATATTAGAAGTCATGAGAGGGTCCAGGTCCAATGATCTGTAAACTATTTGTGGCTTCTTAGTTCATGACATTTATGAGATGGAGTCCCTGCACTTTTCTGAAGAAGAGCATTGAATGCAAAATGGTTCCAGATATTTGCAGTATTGTGTAATATCTTTCAGTGAGACAGTTCCTTTTCTACACTCAGTAGAGCCCAAATGCTTGAGCAAGACCTTCTTGTGCAGCCTCAGTTAAATTAAAAAAAAGATGGCAAAAATGCAGAACAGCTTCCTGTATTCTCAATCTTTCTTGATAAAACGAGTTTGTCAAAACACAGAGCGTTATTTTACTGTAAGAATATAAATGTTTAATTGCAGAAATGTGTTGGTTTGTTGGTATCCTTGGTTTCCATTTAGATTTTAAGGTAGAGGATGAAAATACAGAAAGGAAACAATTGCTTTGAGTATAGAGGGTATCTCTTATTTCCTCCAAAAAATCCTTATTTTCTTTCTATAACTTGCTGATTCCATGTGTTTGGGATATAGCAGTAACACAAGGACAGAAACAAGCTAGATAATGCAGGCTAGGTGATGTCATAGTACTGCTGGAAATCCATTACACGCAGGGTGATTTTTCAGTATCTGTTTCTGTAAGTTGTTCCATTGAATTTTCTTTCCAGTGTGTGTTTGCTGCTGTTGGGAAAGGCATATACGTATATAATCTTCAAATGAAGCGTGTGATTGCCTCCCAGAGAACTGCTCATGACTCCTCTGTACTGCACATTGAGAAGCTTCCAAACAGGTACGAGTCATGGTACGTTTTGAAAATGTGGTAAAGAAGTGCAGAACTTCTAAGGGTGGCTAGAGACAGTCTGCAAAGCTCCATCTAATTTTAGGGCAGGGACCTGATCTTTAGTTTGATCGCTTTTATTAGCTGGAGCTTGTTGATCTGATTTTTGAAAGTGCATCACTGTAATTAAATGTGAAAAAAACTATAGTCTGGTATGCTTGATGCACAGGCTCAGAGCAAAATATCTTGGCTGTTTTCCAGATCAGACTTGATGAAGTACTGTTGTCTGCATTGTGAAAATATAGCTTAATGGCATTTTAGTTCTATAAAGCAAAGGTCTATGGTATATTCAGTAAATATTTTTCACAAAATATTTTGTAACAATTGAAATGTTTTAACAAAACCTGATATCTTCCAGCCTTTGTTCTTTAGTGCTGAATTTCTAGATGAAACTTATTTTGACAGCCAAGTTGGGCAGTTTACTATATCTATATATAATTTAATAGTTGTGTTGTTAGATCTCTTTATGCTCTTGTTCAGTGGAGAAAAAGTCTGTCATAAGATAAAAATTAGAGCCTTGATACTGTAATGCATGTGCTGGTCTAAACATGTAATGAAAAGGAGTATTTTTTCTTCTGTTATTTTTCCATAAGAAAAAATATGTTTTTACTTAATGAAAGTGAGCTTATGGAAATCAGTTAGTAGAACTGTGTTTGCAGAGTCTACACTTGTTATTTTTGTTTTACAGAGTTGTATGCTTTCAAAATGGGATTAAAAATATGTTGGTTTTCTTTTTTCCACCTATTTGGCAAGTCCATTAGAGTTGGCCCTGCTGTTGTCCTAAATCTGGGTTCTTCAGCTGGTGTGCGTAAAGCTAATCAACACTGAGTTGAGATACTTGTCTTTATTGCTAATCTGGAGAGTAGGGTGCTGGACACTTAACAGCCAGCACATCTCTCAGAAACATACAGGGTATTTAATACAAAACTGTGATAAAGAAGAAATTACATTAAAATAGCTGATTGGTTACTTGTACAAAAGTTAGTTTGAACATGATCTCACTCATTATACTGGGGTGGTCCTATATTCATGTGTAAAATCTCCACCTAGAGGTATGGTTTTTAATATTATTACCTAAGGTTACTATAGGGTACACTCTATCTTAGCTTTATTCCACAATTGTGCACGTTTCGAAGTTGTCAACCACGAAACTGTAAAGTAGAAATTTTCAGCTTTCTTGTCTCGGAGCTTTCTATTCAGTCTTTGTTCTATATTAGGTACCTTCCAAGGCTTTGAGGTAACTAAGGTTGGGTGATCTTCCCTCAGTTACAAGCCTGCCTGATTGCTCAGTTTGGAGCCTCGATAACTTTTAACCATTTCTTCTGACATCACTATGGTTGCACCTTGTTTGTATGAAATATCTGAGTGTCCTACTACATTTGAGAGTTCTAGCAAACTTGTGTAGAACCTTCTGAGGCTCTTGCTCAGAAACATACATAGAAACATCACAAGGTGACTTGTGCAGATAAGTATTTGTGCTAGTGTTGCTTACCAACTGTTTTTACAGGCAGCTGATCTCCTGTTCAGAAGATGGCAGTGTGCGCATTTGGGAGCTCCGAGAAAAGCAGCAGCTGCCAGCTGAGCCAGTTCCAACAGGTTTGCTAATGAGGGGTGGTGGAAAAAAAAAAAAACATTTTAAAAGGATAATGGGAAACCAAATTTTCAGCATATGGGAACAGAGAGGCTTACAGGCTTTGTAAGAAGTGATAATGACCTGTGTTCAACCAACTGATAACAGGTGTGGGAGGGAAACTGAGGAAGACCTAGGTGTACAAGCCCTCCAAGATCTGATATGGGAAGTTAGAAGGTCCAGCTGAAGCAGTTCTGTGCCATAAAGCTTATTTAGGGTTTATAGTTGTATCGACTGGTTTAACAAAAACTGTGACCTTTCCTGATGAACCTTGATCTGCTTCTTGCACTGAATAGTGCTGGATGCTGTACCATGCAAGAGTAAATATTTACAGGACCTTGTGAACAAAGCTAAAGAGAAGCTTGCAGATGAGCAGCTGGCACAAAAAAACATTTCTACATCTCCTTGAACTTGTAATAACATTGGGACTCACTTTGAGGCTATATCCAACCTCACTTAAGTACTACCTCTGGGCATGACAGTCCTCAGGGCTAGTTGCTAGTGTTTGAGAAAGCATTTTCCCCAAGTACAGACATTGCCTGTGTAGTGCTTGCTGCTCTTTGACCAGGCCAGCAGCTCCCCTGGACACTGGTAGCTGCAGTCTTGGACAGGGGCTCTGAACAGTATAACTTGGATTATGGACTGGGAACAGCAATGAGCTGTTACTCTATATTGTAGGAATTTTTTTATTTGAACCATGAATAATTTTCTTGATGTATCTTGTCTACCTGGCTGTTTACCTGTTGATAGTAATTTTTGAAAATATCTTTTTGCTGCCTGGTTTGATTTGGGAACATTTTTTCAGGAATGTTCTATCTTCCAGCTGATCTACAGAGTTCTGCTTCTTACTGTGACAAGTGGTATTTGGTTTCATGTTGGCATTTATAACTTCTATGATTGGAGACACTTGAAATAAACCATGTGCAACAGGGAGATAGGTGGACTGCTGTTGATTTGTGCTATTTTTATTCTGAGGAATCTCCTGAGTAGTTGTTAATCTCTGCAGTTATCTCCTTTGCACCAGGGCCATGATCTAGCACACTTCTTGTTTTGTGTGCTGTTGGAGATGAGGGAAGGGTGAAGAAAAGTCTGAACTGCATTGTGTACAGAACTTGACTTTCTTACTTCTGTCAGTACTTTTACACAGTTCTGGAGGCTGTGGCACAGATGTGTGTTTTATTGCTATCTAAATAGATATGATAGTTTCACTGGGCCAGCCCTTGGCCAGCAGTCAACACAGCCGTTCACCCACTTCCCCCCATCCCCAGAGGACAGGGGAGAGGATTGGGGGGGCAAGGATAAGGAGACTCATAGGTTGAGATAAGAACAGTTTAATAATAGAAATAAAAGAAAACTTAAAATAACACTAATATTAAAATAGTGATAATGATAACAGTAACAAAATATGCAAATGAGTGATACCCAGTGCAACTGCTCACCACCTGCTGACCGAGCCTGGCCCGTTCCCAGTTAACAGTCCTGGAGGAGCGACAATCCCGAACCAAAACCACAATCCCGGGAGAGCGAGAGCCTGAGTGAAAGCCAGAGAGAGACAAAAGAGGAAGAGACCCTCACTAATATACTGGACATGGTGTGATATGATATGGACTATCCCATTGGCATATCTAACTGTCAATTAAGTTTATTAATTTAAATATTCCTCACTCCCTTAGATCTTGTGCTTGTAGACTAACAAAACACAAAGTCCTTCACTTCTAGTGACAAAAATGCAAACAGTGTTTTCACAGTGTTATCAGTGTCTCTCTCATAATGAGTCCCAGGCTGAAAAGCAAAACACAGCACTATTCTAACTACTGAAAAAGAAACCCAGCTCTGTTCCAGCTAAAAACCAGGACATGTGGAGTACTATCTTTACACTCCAGTTTGGCTGATAATTTTAAATCTGAAGGAGAAAGCCAGTCACCAGTATAAAAACAGGCAGTTCAGCATCAGAAATTTGCTTATTACCTGGATGCCAGCACTTTAATGCCTTAGTACAGGACACACAGGGGAGAGATTGGCACCTCATTTCTCTCCTCTTTGCATAAGTAACAGTTTTGGAGGACAGAGCAAAGGTAAAGGTCACTGTCCTGCATCTACCTTTGCTGTTCATTTAGTTCATTTAGGCTGTCCTTGTATTTCTTGCTAAATCTGTATATTGTCTCATCTAGGTAAGTAATTCAACATTTTTGCTAAACTACATCTAGTAAGGACAAAAGACAAAATAGCTATGTTTCCTTCCCACCTCAGGAGGAATAATCCAGATACAGAAATGCCGCACAGTACAATGCTTCTGTCATTTTGCCATGCACGCTGTCCTGCTTTTAGTTTTTAAGCAACTCCTACAGTTCTCTCTTTAGCTAGAGGAAATAAATGGTATTTGTGATTTTTGCCAATTTTTTTTTTTTTTTCCCCCCAGGTTTTTTCAACATGTGGGGATTTGGAAGGGCAAACAAGCAGGCAAACCAAGCTGCTAAGAAGATGCAGGAAAACATACCTATGTATTTCTTGGAGCTGGTTGGTGATTTGATCGGTCATTCATCAGCTGTGCAGGTAGGTCAGCTTCAGTAAAACCAAGAAAAAGTAAATTTCACTTACTAATGTAAACTTTTCAGTGTTTCTTAAACAGCTGTAACTTTTGACTGTCTGGCTCTGGAAGCTGGGAACATGTTGACTCTGTGGTATATTTAGTGCAGTGTGAAAACAATAATACATACTGACTTACAGTTCTAATGAGAACTCAAGCACTCACTGATGTGTGAGGATTACGTGTGCAGATATATACATACATGCTACAGATAATCTGGTGGGATATTTGATTTCTTCATAGACTGCAAAAATACAGCAGGGAACTGTGTATTTGTCAGGATTTCATCTTAAGTTTGCAATCTGAACAAAGGCTTATACAAAACAAAACCGATTCAGGAATTTCTTAGGCCTTTGTGCTGTGAGCCTTGAGGAGGTCTTTTAATTTTATGTCGGGTACCAATCTGCGCTTTTGTCTACCTAATAGAGTATGATTTTGTTTTACATGGCATTTTCCCTTCAGAGCTTTTTGTGTTTGCCAAACCTATTGGAGTAACAAATTATTTTCTTACAGTGGACTTTTATACACGTTCTTGGCAGGAGCACAAGGGAAGGCAGGTAGAGAGGAGTGGTGTGGTTCTGGAGTAATTTTGCTCATGAGACAGCATTTCAGAACTGCTACTGCCAAAAGCTGAATGCTTAGCAGTAAATAGCTAAGGTGAGCCTTTCTGCTACAGGGATTTCTGCAGGGCTTTCTGCTCCTCTCTACCTTCTTTCTTTCTGAAAAACTGTTGAAAGAGGCCCTATTATCAGTATAAAAAGTTGCTATCTAAGAAAGAGGACATAGTGTATAATTCAGCAAGAGGCGTAGCAAAGCAAGTGAGAGGCACATGTTGGGTCTTTGCTGGGATGTTGCAGAGCCAAGGAGTAACTGAGATGATGGTGGATGTGATTTCCTGCAATATTCTACATATGGAAAATTCTATTTTAAACTGTGGGTAGACTGGAGCTATGCAGTTGAGGCTGTAAATACTGGGTGGTGACGAAATGTGACAGTCAAAGGTGTGGGCTTGACCAGAGTATTTCTAGTAGAACCTCATAGCTAGTAAGTGGCTTTTCCCAGAGCAGGTAGGCTGTAGTACAGTCCTTGGCCTGAGGGCTTCCCCTGGGCAGATGCCTTCTACAAGCTGAAGAGTCGGGACATTGCAAGCTTGCCATAGTGTAATCTCATTACCTGGTTCTATTGGCTGTTGTGTTGAACTGCAGTTAGCTGTGGTGGCTAATTTTAGGCAGCCTTTTGGAGATCCCCAGAATCAGGGGTGACTGCATTACTTGTCAACTCCATGGCTCTTGCAGAATCCCTCCACTGCTGCTGCAGTTTTTGCCTGTGTTGTAGTTCTTGCTGGTTTGGCTTCCTCTGTGTGACCAGGCACGTGCTGATATCTGTCACAGTTGTTTCCTCTTTGATCCTTTCAGACCTGGTCATGGTAGCCTGTGGTGTTGTGTGGGAAGAGGACAATGTACCCCAGTGAACAGAACAGTGGCTTCTGTTCCTAAGAAACTAGGAGATCAGAGTTCACACAAGTCACTCTTCTACTGCTGACTTGGAACAAGTTTCTTAAATATTGTGCACCTTAGCTTCCATGTTTTTAAGGCTTTACTGCTTTTTCTAAACTGAGATCTTTCAGTGTGAAGTGCTGTTGAAGAGTTGTTTTCATGTGGGGATTTTATGACATCTCAAACGTATAGAAAGTGTGCACTGTAATTTTGCATACCTGTGTTCAAGCAGAACCACTTCAGGCACGTGTATTTATTTACTCCAGCTGTATACTGAACATTTAAGCAAGCTGACAATCTCTTGTGACTACCATGGTAATAGTAATTGTTTCATTGCAGATGTTCCTGTATTTTGGTGAACTGGGACTGGCTACGTGCTCTGCTGACCACCTAATTATTTTGTGGAAGGATGGGGAACGAGAATCTAGACTCCG